GTTTATGTGAAGGAAGGAAAGGACATAGTACAGCTTCAGTGGAGTGTGTGAGCTTGGCACACCCTGATCTGAAAACCAGATCATTCTGTGATCTGAGAACATTTGGTTAGCTTCTCATGGTGATAAACTGATTTAAGGCCAGTTCACAAATCTGTTTTTCCTACGTGTACATCAACTTGACTTTACTAAACTGTTTGGGTAAGATCACTTGTTCATTCATCTCTTAGCACTTTTCTATCTGTAACAAGATGTGCTGTTAACTGGCCAGCTCTGCAGCATAACAAAATCCTGAAATAGTTCTGGGAAAGTCCTGGTGTCTTGCTGTGCAAATAACCCTTTTACTCAGTCACTCCAGACTATATCACAAAATGCTGCCTGTTACAAAAGGAGAGATGTAAGTGTACATGCTGTTTTTTAATACCATCTTAACAAAAAGTTTCCATGGTGATTTGCTCTCATTGCTGCAAGGGAGCTCTCTTTACAAGAGAACCATGGCAAATTCCTATCTACTGCCTCATTGAAATTATTGCCAAATTCCTCAATTAAAAAAAACCTCTTCTTAGCATCACAATATGTTGTGAAAAATACCTCAGAAATAATGGATCCTAAATTTTCTGGTGTAATAAAAAAATCCCAAGACAAAAGTACTTGGAAGTTTCTTAACACTTATGTTAAAAATATATATATATACTTAGGATCTCTTATTTGCACACAGCTCTGAATGTTTAAGAGCATCTGATTGTGCTTCATGTCAGATTGTGAGGCAGCTAACTTAAAACAATTGCAGTAAATTCTAGATTTTTCTGAAAGTCTCTGACAGACTGAATGAGTGACTTTACTTAGTTTCCAGTTTGTTCAGTGTGGTCTGGACAAGAGACACAACCAGTCAATTTATTTACATGTTCCATTTAGCTTCTTTTCCTGCTTCTGAGGCAGGAAAATAAACATTACCTGTAAATGTGCCCAGCACAGATGTTTGCAGATACACTGCAAAGAGAAGTTATTGCTTGAGCCTTTTGAAACTGCTAATGAAGAGACTGGCACACAACTGATTATTTAGAAAGCTGGTATAAGAACCCACACTCTTCTAATATCCTAGCATGTGCTGACAAGCTTGCAGTTAAAGGTGCTTGAGAGCTTCTACTCATAAGCACAGGAATGAATAAGAAATCAGGCCTTGCTCAAGGATTACCTGGATACCATCTACAGATCAGGCAAAGATGAGAATTTTTAAGCATCCCTCCAAAATCAAAGCAAAGTCTTTGAAACACAAATTAAAAAAATAGACCCGTTATTAGGTGACAAAAATGAAGCTAAGTAGACTTGCTCTAAACTGGATTTTCTCATTGATACCAAAATGATTGGGTGTTCTCAGAAACCCGTGCTCAATAGGAAACATGGCATTCAGTGGAGCTTGCTGCTCTGCCTGGCTGTGGGTGCCTAATGCCACAAGGGCAGCAGCTGCTTTAAATAGATATGAATGGCTTTGTTCTTCCTGAAAAATTGGAGTGGGAAGTGGAAGAAATACAGCTTCGAGAATTCTGCTTTTAGACAGGAAAGTATTTTTTTTTCCTTTTCTTTTTTTTAAGTGTTTCTGGAAGCCTTTTCAGATTAAATTCTCAAACTGAGTAGGCAACAACTTCTGCTGTCCTTGACGCTTTCGTGACCTCTTCAACTGCCTTCCAAAAACATTTTTCCTTTTATTCCCTTGGGTGGGGGAACAACCTCCAAATTAAGGAGCCCACACCTCTGAAACAAGCTAGTTTGCATCCTGGTTCTCAGAAGTTGTCTCCAGTCCTGCCAACTAGCAATCTGTCATCAGGTCACAGACTATGTATTATTTTAATGAGGAAGCTCCTGCCACTTCGTGGCAAGAACTTTCACCTTGCTTGAATTGAAAGAGTTAAACTGGATACCTGATACCTTTGTAGAACAAATGCATAGCTAAACAAACAGAGGCCTTGCTTGGTTTGCTTTGCTATTTGGGCATTATCAATTGTAAATATTACTGCTATTTTAAAATAAACATAATATAAATTACTAGATAAGCTTATTGAAGCTATTTTTTTTTCCACTGCTGCTTTCTCCATCTTTCTTTCCAAGAAAGTACAGAAATCAATTCTGTCAGAGTATTAAGCCAGGAGAACCCACAGCAACTCTGGTATTTTTAGAAAAACTTGCTGACAAGACACATTGATGGGTGTCAGAATAGTACTAATTCGTGTTCCTCTTGAAAGGTATCTGCATTCATTATGGTCTATTTGCTTTCAGCTGTAGGCAACATTCAGCTCTAGATTCCTTCTGAGGAGCTTTGGTGATATCTTCACGTGCTTCATGAAATCTTTTCTCTGTGAAGAAAAAACTTATCTTGGTACTTCCTGCTTCTTTTGTGTTTGGTAACTGGTGCCAGTTGATGTGGCTCTGTATGTTCATGTACTGAGAGTGTATGGCATCCTCTGAACTGCCTTCAGGATGCTGCCCAAATTAGTAGTGAAATTGGAAGCAGAACAACACTGCAAAACGTTTTTTACTGACTTGGTTTTTAAGCTCTTTGATCTCCCAAGATTACTATTTCTCATAAGGCCTCATCTAAGAAATAAATTGCAACCATGCTGATTTAAACAGATAAAGGAGCTCCCATCACCACCCTCTCCGAGTGTGAACTCACATCATTTTAGGACCTGAAACTAATGCTGAGATGAGTAGAAGAAACAGATGGAATTCAATTTGCAATAGTGAAGTCTGCCTGTATTGCTATTTTTATGCAAACTGAAATCCCGGTACACAGGATTTCCTTTTCCTAACATGTTGTAACAGTTTCTAATTAAAACACTGCTACCTGCACTCGAGAAATGCCAAACTGACTGCCCTGGAGACTGCAATCTTCACACAGAAGTAAGACAGCAATTTGAATACTTGATAAGCAGGACTTAAAATACTATGTTAATGTGGCTTGTCTCTAAGCAATTGCAATTCGGTTTTGAAGCTGATTCACACACAAAACTATATCCATCCCAAATGCTGAAGTGCTATTATGTAGTGTAGTTGATGCCAGGAGCTGGTAGAAGAGAAGAACTTTATAGAAAACAAAATTGCAGTTAGAAATGACTGCTGCAATAGGCATCTGCCTGCACAAAGTCCTACTTTCCCAGCTGTAGTCATTTACAGTTCAATCTGTGCTGATAGTAAAAACTATCAGTGGTTTGGATGTGTAAGTACTGAAATTAATGAAGATGCTCTGGGCTGGAACAAGCCTTCCTAGTGGGAAAAGTAGTTCCAACACATAATGTTATCCCTCTGCTTCCTGACAGCAGCTGATTTGAGTGTGGGTGCTGCAGTTCTCTTATGGCTTCTCAGCTTGCTCCAAAATATGTGTGAGGTGAATATGACATGGTATAAACATAGAGATAGCTATTATCAGGGAGAGACAGCTGTGTAACAACATTCTGGACTATCAAGATTGCTCTTGGGATATTTATTAAGAGACCAGTCCCACCAGATGAACTCTGCAGGAAGAATGTACATCACAAATGCCACATCGTAAGAATAACAATACACAGACAGCTGCTAACACTAATCCAGGGCTATTGGAACAAAATTATAGAAGAAACCTCACTGTGAGCATTTGGCATTCAGCAGCTTTAAAAATCAGTTATGTTCTGAATCTGCAAAGAGGTGAGCTGTTAAAAGTGCAAGAAGATGCTCAGTGGCTCTGCAAAAACTGTTGTTGAACAAAGAGTTGTTGAGCTTATGGAAATCAGATCAGATATTTATCTTGACTTTGCAAGGAGAGAAAATTCAGAAAATGGGAAAAATAAATTGCAAGTAATGATTGTTATGTGATATTTCCTTACTCTGGAAGACAGAGATGAGAATCTGAAAAGTTTAAAATTAACAATGAAATATGGGCTAGAACTAGACCACAAATGGAAAAGGAATCTGAACCTGACAATTGCTGCTTTAATTGAAATACAAAAGATAGTTTCCTGTCATGGGCATAATAATGGCTCTTGCCTGAATCAAACTTCAGATTAGAAAGAGAAAATATTTGTCTTTTGTCTTGTTACTTCATTTGTATTATTTAGGGTTCTCAAGTCCACAGAAGTGGATAGTAAATATTTATAACTGAAGTTTGTCAAATTAGTAATGTGAAGCAGAATTCCCAGGGATGTGGGGGCTTCTGTTTAAGTTTTCCAGTTAGTGGGAATTAGTGTTCCACTTAAGATACAACTTGCACAACGGGTCTGTGGGAGATTTGTTCATGAGATTGGTCATTTCTCTACAATGGAATCATAAACAAAAGCATGATGCCCTTTTGGTTTCCAATACAAAATATGAAGAGAAATAAAAATTATGATAAGCAAACCTCATTTCTTGTGAAACTCTAGCATCAGTGTTTTGCATTCATTTCTTTGCTTCTGAACTTTCATGTTTGAAGGAGAGTGAAAACCTACAGTAAGTTCAGAGACATAATTATTTTTGGAAAGGTCACCAGTAGCTTGTTTTGACGTCTACAAGTATAATACAATGGCACTGTAAGTCCTGAATAAAATACAGGAGGTATAGTAACAAGAGGTAGATATTTACTGGCTTAAGCGTAGTCAATGTGAATAAGCAAACACTGGAGCAGGGGCCTGGGAAGATTGTATGATCTATTTCATTGAGGATATCAAAATTTCCACTGAGTGAGATCCTGAGCAACCTGATCTAACTTTGGAGTTACCTTTCCCGGGACCAGGTGGCTGGACTAGATGACCCCTTCCAACCTGAATTATTCTGTGGTGAGAGGCACCTATTTCTGACCAATACAGTGATTTTAACACATCATCTGCTAGTGAACAGAGGCACTGTGGACTGCACAGCCGGGCTGCCACGAGAGGGAGGAAATGGGTTTTTAGCAAGGCATAGCAAAAGCCTTGTGGGGCTCCCAAGGGGGTGTAGCTGAGCTGAAAGCTCACACACAGACCTTGCATCTCAGAAAGTGGCAATTTCCAAATGCCTGCGTGTGTGCAGCCTGTGACACGAGCTAAAGAAACAGAGGAGGTTTCTTGGTTGCTGCTGTGATGCCCAGCAGATCCAGTGCCAAGCTGTAGCTGCTGTATCCAGCACAGCGGAATGTGGATTTCGGCTCGGCTGCATTATCTGAAGCAGGTAACTGCTCCAAGGAGCCTCTAGATAAACAAAAGTAAAGCTATAAATCTTATTTCAGCTCCCACTTCTCAACTCTGCTCAGCCAACATGGGAAAAAGCTGTGTGGGTTTTGTACTTTAAATGTTGTTTAAATAGGGATGCTAATATGCCATGTTCTTAATTTTGTGTAGTGCTTGCAATGCTCTTTCAATTTTCAAGTACTGATCTCTGAACGATGATTTAATTGTGACTCTTTTTTTATACCTAAACAGTTTCAACAACAAATGAGTCTTACTGTTAAAGTATAAAGAATATATCACATGAAACTAAGATGCTTTGATATAGAAAATCTATAGAAAATTCTTGTAGCTACAAAGAATTGCATTTTTGTACACAGGAAAGAAGTTTGGTAATGTATAGATAAAAATAATTTATTCTAGCAGTCAAGCCACAGGAAGAACACCTAGTTCCTGCTGAAAAATATTCCTGAAAATTCCTGTTGAATTCAGGAAAAAATGGTAAATATTTGGATCAAAATCTACAGTGTGTATCAGTTTTTATAGCCTCAGAACAGTTTTATTGTGTGAACAAGGTTTGCTACTTTCTCATTAAGCAGTTTGAACTGACACATTATATGAACTTCTATAACTATAGGAGACCAAGCACATAATAAGCTATAAAATCTTAGTTTTTCCTTTAGAGCCCTTTTGTCAGGATCTGGAAGAGTTCTAAAGATTCAGGCTGCATATCTGACCTGTATTTTGGCTTGAGGAATTTGCAACCAAAACACATCTACAGAAACTAATTTGCCTTTGTGATACTAACTTGTCAGAATTCTTCTGCTCAGGCAGTTTTTTGACCTTTGTTTTTTAACATTTTGCGTGCTGAGCTGCCACAAACAAATTTAACATTTTCTAGATTAGACATACAAAGATTTTTTTCCCTGTGGTAACAAAGTATGCATTTGTGGTGAAAGGGAAGTCTGTATTTGTGCTTTGACATTTGAGGGAAATCTCTATGGTCGCCATAGAGCAGAAAAGAAACAACTTTATCTTTCTGTTTTGTAGAAGTGCTGTGCCACTAAAGTTCTTGGGTCCCACAATGCATGTATATTTCTGATGCATATTTATGGAAGACAAACTTCTAAGACTGTACTATTGGAGGAAAGATTTTGAGGATGGTTGTGTTTCTAGCAATCACTGTTCCTTTCATCCCATCTGATGTTCTGTGTGTTTTAAGAAGACAGTTTACTCAGAGGCAGTTCACCTCTCAGCTTTCTCAGAAAACAGCTTCAGTGCTCATTTCAGAGTAGGTTTCCCACAGAAAGAGAACAAGCGAGTTAACATAATGAAAAAACGATCTTCTTCTGCTATGTTGGAAGCTGTTTTTGGGAGTTGTGAGTCCAGGGTGTAGCAGGCTCAGCCTGCCAGCTCTGACTGAGCAGTTGGTTCTCTTCAGCACTGAGCTGGTGGCAGCAGCAGAGTTTAAGGAGAGGTCATATGTGCAAGAGCACAACAGCCAGAGGCCCTAAAATCTTTGGGAGAATGTAGCAGTTTGAGAGGTTCCAATGCTACCTTCCCTTCTGCTTACTATTATTTCTTTGTTTTTTTCTTTCCTCCTCCAGAATTCACACCAGCCTTATCAGGAGAGGCATTCTACTCTGCCTGCACTGTTAAGCCTACAGCCTCTGCAGACTGGACTGCTGCTGTTTCATTGTCATCAGTGAACAATTGTGGTATCCCTGTGCTCTAGCACTTTTTCCACTGGAAAATGGGAATGAAGACAAATACAGCAAAGTTTTTGTGGCTGCTGATGTTCTTCTCTGATATTGTGCCATTCAGCTGTGAGAAATCAATGAGAGAAAGAGCTATTGAGCTGATGCAAGATGCACGTTTGATCGATGGGTATATAAAATATGTTCAATTAAACTCTCTTTGTGAGTCCTGCCAAGTGAGGAGGAAATGCTGAAATGTGTGTAGATTAGCAGAGACATGGGCTGTTACGAGCACGTAGCACTGAGCTACTCTTGCAGTGATACATTGGGAAGGAATTTTGGTTCAGAGGATACTTAAAGTAGGATTGTGTCATTCTAAACACTGTTGTGATTTTCTGGTCAGGTCTTATGGTTTAACCCCAGCTGGCAGCTGAGCCCCACACAGCCATTGCTCACTTGTCCCTCTGGTGGAATGAGAGGATCAGAAAAGTAAGAAAACTTGTGAGTTGAGACCAAGATAGCTTAATAAAGAAAACAAAAGCCACACACAGGCAAAGCAAAACAAGGAATTAATTCACTATTCCCACGACTAAGGTGTTCAGCCATCTCCAGGAAGCAGGGCTCCATCACACATAACATTTTCTTAGAAAGATAAACATTGTGATTCTGAATGTCCCCTGCCTTCCTTCTTTTCCCCAGCTTTACATGCTGAGCATGACTCAATTGATCTGGAATATCCCTTTGGCCAGCTGGGGTCAGCTGTCTCAGCAGTGTCCACTCCCAACTTACTGTACTCCCAATCTGCTCGCTGGTGGGACGGGGTGAGAAGCAGAAAAGGCAGAAGAGAGACTTTTAGGCATCTATTGCTGCAAGGATTATTGGCAATTAATGGTCTAAACAGTGGAAGAAATTACACTTGGGTTAGAAAGGGACCAACTAATTTCTGTCATAAGTCCTATTTGTTTTCCATTCTAGCCACAATGACTTTGCACTGCAGCTGAGAATACTTTACCAAAATAGGCTCAGCAGAGTCAATTTAAGAGAACTCAACACGACCCACACAAACCTTGTGAAACTTCAGGCTGGTTATGTGGGAGCTCAGGTACGTACTGCTGTGGTGGTGAGGCTCAGACAATATTTCTACATTTGCTTCCTTCCCATCCATAAAAGTACTCCTAGCCCTGATTTTGGTTCTCTATGTTGAAAAATAAAAAAATTAATAGACCTGAAAAGCCACAGACCCTCTTTCATGTCTTTCAAAAGTTTGGATTTTATAATTCAGGTAGTCCTAATCAAAACAGCAGTATTTGTATTGTGATATACAAATTAAAGAAGCTTATATTCGCTTTCCTGCATGTACTGTGGAGTAGCTGAGTGTATCAGGAGGCCTTAATCATGTCTGGAGTGGGTGCCCTTGCCTTGCATCATAACTCTTTCTTTGGGGAAAAGGCTATAGTGGCAACTCCCTTGTAAACTGCAGGAAGTTATTTTGCTCTGTGCTCCTGAACTATGAGCAAACAGAAGTTTCCAAGTCAAAACACAAATTACCTGGTTTGCTTGTCGATGTCTCTTTCAGTTTTGGTCAGTGTATGTTCTTTGCAGCGCTCAGAACAAGGATGCTGTGCGCCTGACCTTAGAGCAAATTGATGTTGTCAAGAGGATGTGTAACAGCTATGAAGAGCTGGAACTCGTGATGACTTCCCAAGGTGATGCTCCTTCTTGTAAAAGAATTTTTTAAAATGTGATTGTAGGAGGTATGTACAGAGAGATGAAAGCAGGCAAGTTATCCTGCTTTAAAGAGTAACTTCAACATTTCCTCTGAACCACAGCCACTGACTGTGCACTGCCCTGGTCCACTGCAGTCATGAGAAAATTTACCATATAAACATGTACTCTGTAAGCTCCACTTCTATAAAAATGTTTTTATTATTGCTTGCTATTTACACAAACAATTGCGGTTCAGTAGTGCTGGCTTCTAATCTGTCATGGAATTACTTTGGAATTATCTCCCTTTGTGTTTTCCAGGTATCTCTGACAGTAGAAGGATTGCATGTTTGATTGGAATAGAAGGTGGCCACTCAATTGACAGCAGTTTGGCAACACTGAGGATGTTCTATGACTTGGGTGTTCGTTACATGACTTTAACACACTCCTGCAACACTCCTTGGTAACTATTGTGCATATTTTTGTGTGGCTGCCTAATGCAAAGCAGTGGCAGCTGCATGGTAGAATTGTGGATTCAACACAACCTTATCCTGTGAAAGACTTTGAATCAAGTCAAGGTGATAGGTTTTGGAGGTAAATCATTTGCCATTTGTACAGTGGGAGACTACATCTATTATCTAGTGCTTGTTATGATCATAATTTGGACACTTGACAGTCTGCTTGTCTTAAATTCCTTCACAAATATCAGCATTAGTCAACCTGAAAGCAGTTATGAACATAAAAAGCACTGCCTGAACAAGATACCTATTATGTAGCTCATTATCCCCACATTTGGCTATGTGACATTGTAATAATTTTTCTTGTGTGTAGTGTAAGTTTTCAGCTGCTGGTACTGTATTCTCCAGAATAACATGATGTTTCTCCTCCCTTACTCCCCCTTTTAAGGTCTGAATCATCATCTAAAGGAATACACAGCTTTTATCCCAATGTTACTGGTCTGACTGCGTTTGGCCAAGTAAGGATCTTTCGAATGCTAATCTGGGCAATCTGTCATGCAGCTAACAACTTCTGGCCTTATCTTCTCAAAAGCAAATTGTCATTAAAAATTAATTACTGGAAGTTCTTGATAGTTAGGAGGTGATCAGGATTTAAATTCCCTGTGATGTTTCCTAGGGTAAAAGAAGTGTTAGATTTAATTACAATTGTTTTAATACAGATTAGATGAACCCATATGTGCAAGCAGTAAGATGTGAATAACACTTCAAATGACTCATTTTAGATTGACTAAGTTTTGTAAGTTTTGAGCATGTGGTGGCATGCTGCCTAATTTTGAGTGAATAAATCACAAATGAATTAATAGGTACACAGACACCAATACAGGCACAGCATGTTTATGACTAGCTGACAGCTGCAGAATTATCTATCTGTTTACATACACCAGCTAAATGGCTTCCTTTCAGGAAACTTAATACTGACACTGTTGTCTGTACATCTGTTTTAGGAAGTGGTAAAGGAGATGAATCGCCTGGGTATGCTGATAGATTTATCTCACACCTCATACTCCACAGTAAAAGCTGCACTCAGTATCTCAAAAGCACCAGTAATTTTCAGCCACTCCTCAGCATTTTCTGTTTGCAATCACTCTAGAAATGTTCCTGATGATATCCTCCAGGAACTGGTGAGTGATATGGTACTTGGGTTTGCTTTTTGGAGGAAGGAATTTGTTGGTTTTGCTTCTTGGGATTTTGTTTTTTGTTTTAATGGCAATGTTTGTGTGGGCTGCAGCAAACGTGAATTCAAGTCATGATGTTTATTTTCCACCTCCTCATTCCTGCATTTGATTTAGAAGCAGATCCTTGAGCAGCAGCTTACAATTGCTTCTGAGACATTTTCTTTGGGTTGTGTTTAGCCTTTGACTACAAAAATGAATTGTTTGCAAATACTTCGAAATTCTGGTTGAGTTTGTTTGATGTAATCACTACACTTTGGCTGATTCAGTCTACATGAAATAAAACGAACCCAGGGAAAAGGGCAGGGAGCCAAAGCCTTGTGTTGCCATCTGAACTTAGTGTTGCTGTTCTCACTGATGGGTGAACATAGAAGATTTTACATAAGGTGTCCATGAAGTTTGCAGGGCACAAGTGTTCACTCATCACCTGTCTCTTCATATCTTACAGAAAAAGAACAAGGGAATTATCATGGTGAATTTCAATGCAGATGTACTGGCCTGTGGCAGAAAAGTTGTTACTATTTCTACCCTTGCAGGTTTGATGTTAATATACTGTACTTTCTGTGGGTTCTACGGATTTGTATAAATAATATGAATATCCTGGTGCATACATAATTTTCAAGGTCATGTAAATTACACTGTTTGTTTATTCCATCCACACCTTAGCCCAGCTCTAGGTACTTTTTGAGCTAACACTCATTAAACAATAACACGAGGTACAAGATGTGTGTGTAGCTGGAGGACACGATGCTCACAAACAGAGCCAACAACCATTAATCCCAAAGTAGTTGTTACTGTCTGGAAAACACCTTAAGCCTATGTAATTAACAGTGGGAAACATAGGTTTGTAATAGATAATGAGAATTATAATAATAATGAGAATTCTATTGGTATAAGGGCTACCTGTTAGGAATGAATGTGCTGGTCATGTCTCTTTCCTCATTTGCATTTCATCAGGCTAGTTGTTATTTTGAAGGTTGAAGCCTGATGGGGTCTCTTTTGACTCTTTAAAAAAGGATTTGTTCAAGAACCCATAATTAAGGAGAGCTGTGACCTAGTGCCAATATGTGTGAACTGTAACATTTAATTTTTGCTAAATGCTTAGATGTTGTTTTCTTGATATTTTCTTTCAGATCATTTTGACCATATAAAGGAAATTGCAGGCTCAGAATCGATAGGAATTGGTGGTGACTATGATGGAGTGGAACGGTTAGTAAAGTTGTGCATACATTGACATCTGCTCCTTAAATTATGTGGGTTTTGATTCATTTAAGGGAAAAAAAGAAGGCAGAATAAAAAAAACAGTATCAGATTATCTTGTAATGAGCACTAAACCAAATTTGGTGAAAGAGGGGCACAATGATTCCTTTTTAGAACTGCATGAAGCAGTGCTACAAATGTAGGAATGGATCCTCATGTCCTGTGAACTCTGACACTGTGTGTTCTAGGTGGTGGTTTGTGCATACAAAACCAGTGATAGAGGTTGTTTTTCTCCAAAAGCCACAAATGAATGACAGAAAAGCTGCCTCAACCTTTGTGTGGTAAATGGCTCAGTCTAGAGAGATGCTGCAAAACTTTCCTCCACTGCCCTTGGGGAAAGCCCAAAGAGTTTGGGTGCTGTGAAACCACTCCTGCTTTTGGGGCTTGGGAAATGTTTGAGGCAAGCAGAGCCTGGTGAGCAGCCTACCACAAAACCTCTCCTCACTCCTGGACTTCTGCAGTTACAGCACAGGAAATAAAGGCAGATTGGCTGGCATTTGCTGCTGTAACTCTAAACTTTTTTTTTTTTTCTTTTTATCTTTCTGTTAAAGCATTATCTCCTTTTCCTTTTTTTTCTTTTTCTCCTGGAGTCAGGTTTGCTTGGGAATGAAAGTCAGTCAGGCTCCCACCTGTAAGGTACAAACACAAACCTATGGTGTCAGCTCCCATGATATCATAGTTCTGAAACTATAATGTTCAAAATAAAAACACAGTTTGCAACAAAAGGACACATTTTATCACATGCATTTTCTCAAACACCATCAGTTAAATTCGTGGTGGAGTTCTCAAGGTTCTAATTCCTGCTAGTAATGCCACAGATTTTTTTGAGATATGCTTATCACCATATCTTCATGGAACAGAAAATAACAAAAATATTAGTTATCTTAAAACCATGGCAAATTCTCATGGAAATACAATTAAAAACAGCTGTTTAATGCAGGTTTTGCAGCTTTTTATTTCTAAATTATTTTTATTCTGAAAATAATTAGCACAAGGCACAGATGAGTTTTGCTTTTTATAATTTCTTTAGTGGAGGTCTCTGAATAGGTTTCTTTCCACTGCCTGAACAATTGGCTTAATTCAAATCAATATTATTATTCTAATTGTTTTGGTTTTTTTTGGAAAAGTACTTTGTAAACAACGGAGTTCACAAAATTGCCTGCAACTCCAGAGCTCGCAGTGTGTTTTTAGGTTTCCTTTTGTTCTCAGTCACATGAGTGGATTGCCCCAAATTCATCTGTGATGCAGCTGTTTCCTCTTACTCTAAAGGCCAGATGGAAAGTGTGGATTAATGTATACATGAATTTCTGGTTATTTTTTCCCCTTTTGTTCTAATATCCTCCCATGCTGTTATTTTGCCTCTATAGAAGTGCATCTTCATTCCAGTTGTGTTCTGTTTATTGGGTCCTATGTGAAGAAAAAGTCTTGTGGTGTGTCCCAGTCCTGTTTCTGTTTGTCAGCTGAATTCTCAGAGGAAGAATTAGGTCCAAAGTGAGCTCACTTCAAAAGTCAATATGTGCAAAAGACTAATTAAAAATCTTTTTCTCCAACTTTTCAGTGATGTGTGTTGAATGTTCTCGTGTGACTCTTCCCAACAGCTTTCCTGAAGGATTGGAAGATGTCTCTAAATACCCTTCTTTGATAGAGGAACTTCTTAGAAGAGGATGGAATGAAACTGAACTGAAAGGAGTCTTAAGGGAGAACTTTCTCCGTGTCTTCAGGGAAGTAGAAAATGTAAGAATAAAATCCAAACTGAATCTTGAGTCTTACTAAGAGGGAAGGAGGAACTGCTGGTGTTTTGTTGTTTATTTTTGGGTGTGTTTTTTCTTTCTTTCTTTTTTTTTTCTTTCATTTTATGTGTTTTGCTTTGGAGGTTGTTTTTTTTTTTTGTTCAATGAGAGATATGAGGGAATGTAAGCACCTAATTCAGTAAATCCAAATGCTGGGAAAGAAACCAAGATGGCAAGAGAGTGTTAGCAGCATAAAGGAAAATGAGAGAGAGCAGACAAAGCTCTTTGGGAGTTTTTCTCTCTGCAGTAATCTGATAAACACACATCAGTGACTTCCAAATGGAATCACTTCATGGTTTGGAGAAACTGCGGATGTACCAGCATCACAGACGGGCTGTGTTCGCTGGGGCAGGAAGGAATGTTGACTCCTGCAAATCAATTTAATTCTTGTCATGGGATTGGGCTGCTGTTCAAAAGGCTTCTGCCATGGCCAGATGACTAACAAGCCATAAATATAACAAGTAGATCACAACGAGCTTTAAGTATAAATGGTAGAAGTTAATCCAGAAGGATGAGGGAGGAGAGGGGGGAAGGAGACTGAGTAAGGCTAGGGCCCCCTCAATGGCAACTTTCACAAATGCCTCTGCTGAAACTTCCAGACTGCTTGTCTCCTACTGCTTTTATTTACAGGGTAGGTAAGCAGATATTGCACACAAAGCCTTATAGACAAGACATTTCACAGTGACCTTTCTTCAACTTGTCTTTTTTGGGCATGTTGGATGAACAGAAATTAGGGAAATTTGCCCCATTCCAGTCAACCTGCCAAAATATCTACATAATAATGACTTCAATGTGTGGCAGCCTGACACTATGAAGAAGCTCAAATGCATCACACCTAATCAATCTGTGGGATTTAGTAATGTTTTTTCCCTTCTAAATTAGAGATGTTGAAGTTCTGTCTTGAGAGTTTGAGCTCACTTCAGGGAAGAAAGCTCATGAGTTTTTTGCTCCATATGTGGAGAGAGCCAAGACAAAGAACAGTCAGCCCTGTGACTCTTCCCTGTAATGTCGCTGTGCTGAATTATGGGAAGTGTTTCATAGGAATGCAGACAGCAGAATAATGATGTTGATTTCCTCACATTCAGATGTGGTTTTGCTACACAGTTTGAGCTGGGTAACTTGAAATACCATTGAATTTGCTAGCTGCATAAAGCTTTTTGCTGTTGTCCCAGTCTGACTTTCAAGGACAACCTTTTGAATTTTTGTAGGTGCGGAACTCTTTAGGAGTCATGGACGTAGGTGAAAGTGAAATTCTGCAAGAAGTACAAAATTCCTGTCGCCTAGACCTACGGAAGCCTCAGCTTCAGTCATCCACGTCCTTTGGATTTCCTTCTGTGGCACAACCTTTTAGTCTGACACTTGTATCATATTTAATGCTGCATTATATAGCATAAGATTTATGGAGTCTAGAAAGAGATTTATGGAGTACTCTGCAAAGCAACTACTTATCCTTCTGTGATTTGTTAACAGAAAACTATAATAAATTTTTAAACTTAATTTCTATAAATTCATCTGCATACTTGAAAAACCATGTAAATGATAAACGATGTAGCAAAAGCATTGAGATTTTGAAATGATAAATTCTGTATCCTCTCAGCTAGACAAGGACCAACATTGTTAGTGGAAAATATCCACATTTAAAGAAGAAATTCTGTAATACTTGATGCATGGTTTTGGTACCCTTACTGTGGAATAAAAACTGGAGTACAGAACCAGCAGTTCCACACAGGAACTAGAGATTTTGATTAAGACATCTGTGCCAAGAAGTTTTCAAGAATTACTTCTTGTTAAACCATAAAACTTCCATCAATAGTTGATGGCTTACTCAGAGAAGACCATCCCCTGCCACATGGAGAAGTCTGCTTTTTTGGTTTGCTTGTGGTTTTTTGTTTTTTAAGATGACAAGAGGAGTGACAAACCTATTCCAGTTTGAACTGCTTGCCTACAACTAGCGTTAGAGACCCATTCTGCAGTACTAAACTCTTATTTTTGAACCCTGACTGGTTCTTATTTTTGAATCAGTTGACCAGTGGGCAACTGGACAGTTACTGCAGGATGGAGGCAGATCTCTTACTCTTCAAGTGCAGGCAACATTGTAGATACTTTTCTATAATTTGAGAACAGATGTTTGCAGCGTTTTCATGATGATGGGAGCAAGACAAGTCAAGACAAAGCAGGAATTCTGGCTGGTAAGAGGGTTGTGGAAATCTTTTTGACATTTAAACAATTATCCTTATCAGTAACGTGTTTTATTATTTCATTTCTATTCTGGCTGGCTAAAATCAGACCATGGTTAGTGGATTCATAGACATGAGATTAGACAGAGGTCTTTTTATTTTAAATCTGCTGTTTTGACCTTTGGAATACTTTTTGAAATGCACAAGGTATGTGAGGTCAGAAGCTCCTGGTGCAGAGAAGAGCATATATTGAGATAGGCCTGTTCTTTGTAGGCTCAAAACTGACATTTTAGTCAAATATGCTGAGATTCATTATTAAATTATAAGATGGCAGCACTGTATCTTTGTATGGCCAGTTCCCAGTGCTTGCTGGTAAATGCTTTCCCATTATATTTGCTGTTAATTGTGATTTTATGATCCATTTGTTAATTGCTGATATGACATCTACAGAATTTAGCCTTAGTGTAGAATAAAAGCCTTAGTGTAGAAGAAATTAAAATTCCTGTAATTGATCTAAGGAAAGTATTTGTAACCACACAAAGTATTTAACAACCAAAAGAGAAGGCTGAGCATGAACAGGATGTCAAAACAGCACATTAGTTTTTTTTTCTAGAGGAATTTGAGACTCTTCATACCATCCATTTCTGCACTCTATGTACAAGTAGGACTTCTGGAAGGATTTTGTTCTTTTATAGCTTCAAAATAAGCTTCATTAATTATTTTGATAAGATGGTCTCCTTGATAAATACATTCTAATTATACTCCAGTATGTTACCAAATTCTTTACAAATCATGTGGAACCATCTAGTTGCACACAAGTCAACTTTTAAAGAATAATTTCTCAATAAATACTGGGAATACTGATTCAGAAGTCTGGCCTCCCTGATATTGCTTGACTGTCATCATGTCTTACTGCTAAAATGATTAAATCATTAGGGCAAATGTCTAATTCCCATTACTACGCCTTCCAATAAGTTCATAAGCCATTGGAAAACTGCCATCTTTTCTCAGAACTGATTCTCTGATATTTGTTTCATTACACAAAATGTAACATGCTTCTTTATTCCTTCCAGCTGTTTTTTTTATACTATGTTGTCACTTTACTGCCTGCTAATTTTTACTTTTTTACCTTCCCATACTACAGCATGGACTAAAAATATATATTCTTTCTCTTAAATATACATAAAATACTTTTATATGACTTATCTATAATGTATTGCACTTATTTGTTGACTGCCCTTGTGGTAGAACACAGACATGAAATTTCAATAAAATATGGTTTAAAATTGTGTAACGATATTGGTGTAATCTCACAAAACAGTGTAGATGTTCAGAGGCCCATGAGACCCTGAAATAACCATGGACCCTGTGGCAGAAGGAAGGCCAGAGTACCATGAGGACTCTGGGTTGATCACAGAGGGAAGGGGTGCCCCTTCCATGGCAGGCAGGAGAAATTCAAGTAGGTTTAATCCTGGATGTAGGCAGTCAGCTTTATTAAATTCAGATACTGCTAAACCCATCCAAGCCCATGGGAAGGGATCAGTCAGTGCAGTGAGTCAATGAGGACAGTGTTACCTGCAGCAAATCCCTGCTCAAGCTGTCAAGGCATGGAGAACAAGGCATATGGGAAGCAGGGGGGCTGCCTGCATCAGGGCTGGGATAACCTCTGCCCCACAGCACTTCTCACAGATGTGTCCTGATCTAGAAGGCCCTTTTCCATTACCAGTTACAATGTTAATTCAGAATGCTTCAAATAAACTGCATGTGTGAACAAAATCAGAAGGCAAAATCAACAGATGAAATCTTGTGCACTGATTATCCATGTTATCTAGCTTATTTAATAGATGCAGCTAATTTATTTTTCTTAAATGATCAAAACCACACAACTTGAAACACGCTAGAAAGACATCTTATTATAAATTAATTTCAAAAGTAAAATCATGTAAGATATAGCTGTGACTGCTCTCAGAAAAACTAATGACCCTTAACTCTGGTGAAGATGACTCAAGTCTCCAGCCCTGACAGCAACTTGTAGTATTCACTCTGCATTTGTAACAACTCAAGCATAAAATGATTGTACTCTGTTTTCTGCCTCCCAATGGGAGGATGATTCATGCTGCAACTGAATGCCTTTGCCCTGCCCCAATTAATGACAGCCATTTGCATTGGTAATTCAAATGTATTCAAGTTCAGCTGACAGATTCTATTATGGCTGCTGGTATCAGTGAAGTACCAGATATAATTGGGATACAAACTTTGTAATAAGCTTTGTTGGCTGCCAAATGAAAGAATGCAAGTCATGACTTACCTCTTCTAAATAATGAGTTGTGCTAACATGAATTCTGAAATATTTATTACTATTTCTGTAAATATCAAAATCTATGTACTATGAAGCACCCTAGGCTGATTTTTCAGAAGACTCAAAGTTGAAGGCATCTTAAACAATCAAAGGCTCATGTTTTTATATATGTGGTATGAACAACCAAGAACTACAGGCATAATATTGATGCAGACCATTGATTTAGTTCTAAAAGGTTGATGCCAGGCAGGGCCGTTTCCCCAGTACTTCCCCTATCCTTTTCCTGACTAATGGACTGTAGCATCCACAGAAATAAAAAACTTCAGTTCTGAGTTGTCTCATCTAGGCAAGTGGTGATGCTAGGAACAAAACCTCCAAAGTCTGCTGCTGGTCTGACACACATGACAGTTCTGTCACCTAAAATCTGAGTAGTTCAGTTCCTGTATCAAGCTTCCACCCAGCAGGTGACTTGTCTGGGCCAGGGAAGGACTCCTGCATGTTTTACATCGGGTACAAACTCCTCTGCCGTGCTTAACATCTACATTCCTTCTTGCATGTCATTGAGCTCCTCAAGCAACATGCCAGCATATTTCTCTGTTTCACTGCCAGCAAACATCGTGCATGAAGTCTAATCACCTATATGAATATGAGTTCATTAACTTTGTTTGATTTTACACCTGACGTTCAGTGGGCATCTGCACCACAGAATGAACTTTGCAAAGCCAGGTGCTGCATCCCCCTCCCGTTCTGGAGTGAGGAGCAGGGTTCAGCAGCTCATGCCAGAGTCAGCTGTGGCTGCTGCACTGCTCTGGCCCTGGCTGCAGGTTGTGTCCCCTGCTCCTTGAGACAGCACTGGTGTCTGTATAAGCTGTGTTCAGCGAGCTGGTCCTGCAGGAAACTTCTCCTCCTTCAAGGGATGAGTTTCCTGCTGATCGTGTCAGTGATGGTTAACCATGCTCATTGTTAGGGGAGGGGAGGAGTGAAAAAGCAGAGTGAGACTGCAGCAACTCGGATTTCCTCCATTTGCTATTGGAAAGTAGCAGTTCTGTTTGCTCTTCTCTGGATTTGTACATATGGAAATTATCAAATTGCTTCAAATTCTGAAAACAAAAGAATTAAATAACCAGAAGACTCTTCCCACTAATAGTGGCTTTCATTTGCTCTCAAGATTTGTTAGATTCAATTTACAGACCCAGAGCAGTATTTTAGGTGATCTGCTGAAGCATTTTCAGGACAGACTGTGATCCTGGATAACCCTACTTGGACTGTTCTGGAAGGCTTGATTCATTGGTTCAAGAATTCCTTTTTTCTTCTTTTTTCTTCCTTTTTAAAAAAATCTGGTCTTGATTTTTTGTCTTGCTATCTTACCTAGAACCTTACATGTAGATAGAACAACTTGACATGGGAATGGTTATTTGCTGCTATTATAATTATCTTTTTTTTAATCTTCTGACACCAGAGAAATGGAAAAAGTTCCTCACTAACCTTCATGTTTATTTATAACTTTATGATGACTTTTTTTCTTTTTTTTTTTTTGCAATGCAAAAGCAACAACAAAAACCTCTTTCCAAAAACTGTGACCTCAGAGATATATTGGACTTGGTTCAGTTGTTTCTGTCATGAGACAACAAATAGTGGAGGGGAAAAAAAAAAGCTAAATAAACAAAGTTCAGCATTTATCTTACAACAGAAAACTGTTGCTGCTTCTAATTAAGGGTCTGGCCCTAACAATCAAAACTCAAATGAGAGGGCACTTAATTTTTCTCTTTTGCTGTTGCAAATGGAGTTTTTTAAACTCCATTAAGATGACTCTTTCCTCTGTATAATGGATATTTTCCTCTGAAGCCCTTTCTCAGCACCTGGTCTATCTTTTTTTATAAAACATTTATTTCATCGATTCTGCAATTAAAGGAAAACATAAAGCCCAGGAAACAGGAATTAAAGTTCCCCTGAGGGCTGTTGCTGAGAAACAAAAAAAGATCAAACTAAGAGAGATTAAAACTGAAGCTAATATAACTTTCATCACACAATTCAAAAGAAGATGCCTTTAGTCTCGAATACAAACATTTGAAAAAAGTTCAATACAGTTTTGGATTAGGATTAATCTTCCTGAGTTTCCTCCAGTAGATAAACTCAGCATCGCAAGAATCTTGTCTAGGCCTGTGCTCAGTTTCTTCTCTGAGCCCTTTATTAAAAATTAAATAGCCCATGACAAACCTACCCATGCTAAAAATGTAACTGATCTGAAAATTGATGCACAGAGTGGTATTTTTTCCAGCATCTTAATTGTACACTAAAAACTACTGCCATGTTTAACAAGATTGTTGTAGAAAACCTTGATACAGTTGCTCTTATTTGAATGTGCAGAACCTGGGTGAGTAGGAAAGAAATGGTATCTCAAAGACTACAAAAATTTCTCAGTTTCTAGAGCTGAGATTAAGGTTTTTTAGTAGAAATGACTATTCCATGTATCAAATACAGTTATAAGTAATTTTACAAGTGAAGCAGAAGTTCCTTAAAGTAAATAAACTTTGAAGGTAAGTGGCACCATAGTGTCCTCTTGTGGTCTTTTTAATGTTTAAGCTGTGATATGTTTTCTAGCAGAATAACAAAATTTCCAGCTGTCTTCAGCAGAAGAGCTCCTGTCTTGCCACAATGTGGCCTTTCCTTGCCTTACTTTTCTCCTGGAAATGCCTGTGGAGAATTGCACACTGCATTTCCTACAAGCATTTATTCCAAGGATGCTTGTGTCGTGGAGGATCTCTTCCAGCCACTGCCTGTCCTTGTCATGGGAACTGTATCCTGGTCTTTATGGGTGAGAAACCTTTACAGGCAGGTTGCCAGTTCCAGCCTGCTGTGTCCACAAGGCTGGTGTGACCCTCACATGTGGAGAAGCAGGAATGTGCTGAAAGCCAAAGTTCACTATGGTGAAATGCTGGCCATGAACTGGCAGAATTCTTGCCAAGCCTGATGTCCTGGGAAACTGTACCTTGGCAGTGGTGAATTTTGTGTTGTTATTTTATTCCTGATTGTCAGCTCTTGACTATTTGTCACCCAGGTTCCACTCTAGTGGGAAAAATCTTTCAAAACAATACATAACAGTTACAGATTCCTTGCTATGTTAGGGGCAGCATAATTCTAGAGATGATTTTTTAAAAATTATCTGAATTGCAATGTTATTACTTATTTCTACAGATGACACTTTTTGCTTGGCCTTGATTCTCCTAGTTAGAAAAAAACTAAACTATTTAAAATTAGACATCTCCATGAAATTCAGGAAGAAAGGAAGATAAGAAAAGCTGTCCTCAAACAGAGTTTCAGATGCTGTGTCTATCCTTTAAACAAATAGGAAATCACTTGCTTTGAGAAGGAATTGAAATGATGATGCTTTTTGTTGTTTGATTGAGCTTAACATCACATGCTGCAAGTCTGGAAGTTACCAACACTTTGGAGCTGATGCACCAGGACCTCCAAGGTGTGCACCACATCCCTGGTGAGGGCTGAACCCTTGTAAATGCTGATGGTAATTCTGATTGCAATACTGATGGTAATTCTGTGCTCTCTCTCTCCTAGGATGGCTGTATGAGCACCACAGGAGAACCTCTGAGTGCTGCTGCCAGGGAAGGGATGAAAGTCCCTGCAGGCGAGCCCAGCCTGTGTGACAGCTGAGGATGTGTGCAGTCCCTGTCTCACACTGGGCTGTAAAAGCCGAGCTCCTTTTTTAATGCTTCAGAGGTGCCTTTACCTGCAGTAAAAAGTGTTCAAGGCAAACTTGACCTCTCTTGCCTGCCCTGAGGATTTATATCAGGCTCCACAGCAGTTTACTAAACCACCCTTCTGGAAGACTCAGAGTTTCTCATCCAGCCTTTGAGGTGAAAAACACAGTTCTCCACTGTGGAAGGGTACTGACCTTTCAGCTGGAAGCTTTACCTGCTAAAGGTAGTTCACAAATATCCAGTGGCTTACCAATGAAGAACAGAACTGTGTCTTTGATTACATGATTTGTAGTTAGTACCAACTTAAAAGCAGTTCCTGGCTGTGTATCAGAGGGGAGATGATGGATTTGCTGACCTTTAGGCTGCTGATTTCACTGATGCTGTAAATGTACACTACAGTACTGAAAATACAGACCTCTTCTAATAAGCCTTCTAATAATCTAATAAGATTCTTCAGAGCTGAACTCATTGTTTTTTTGCTGTGAAACCACCTGGCTTTTTTCTTAGAAGTGCAGTTTTTCTCTGTTGATATTGGAGTGGGATAGAGAGGAAATTAAAATTAATGTCTCTGGTTTTTGTTTTCACTGACCAGTCTGTACCTATATGAAACCATAATCCCAAATTCTATTTAGCTTTGTAAAAAAACTGGTAATTTTCGTCTCTGTCATTTAATGAGAGGATAGCAATGTTGTTTCAGGTAAATACAGTAGTATTGTAGACCATCCAGTTTCATTCCAGCATCATATTCATATCAGAAAACTTTTGAGCTTATGATGGTCACTCATACCATTCAGAATAAGTCACTTGCTATCCCCGGAAAAAAAAAAAAATTAATCATCCAGGTTGAAATTGTGTTCTCTTACAAACCAGATGCTAAACAAAGTTGATATGGGTAGCTCTAAATACAGTCTTTCTGCAAGTCTGTAAAGAACTCCTGTCCTTAGACAAAAGAAATATTCTTGCTTCAATAGACTTGAATGGTTTCCTAGGGCTCAATTCTCTCCTAAGATATTTGGATATAGTTTCCACTCCCCAGAAGGGAGTTGCTGGTATATGTGCATGAGCCTAAATTTTTTAAAACTTTTTCTGCTCATGGGTTACAGTATCAGTACCACTGATTCTATGATACTAAAATATTTTGTGATGGCATAGACGCAATTTTGGTGCCTAAAGAGTGTTGTCTCCTTGCCACATCTGCTTTCAAAAGTGTGAGAAGGAAGCACCCAGTTTAATACTTCTTTCTGAATTGGCATGACTCCAAAAAACATTAACTTTGGAGACTTATTTCTTACAGTCCCTGTCTCCTTTCTCTAGGCCAGTTTATTTAGACCAGATATTTTCACTCAAAAGCTTTATAAGGTTGAAAAGAGGAAAGGAGACTGAACATGAACAAATGTGCTTAAGGGTAAATTAGCATCTTGCCCCTTTTCTATATAAAATTATTTGTCCCCTATCAATTAATTTTCCTGTTTTCTTGGTGGGCCTTATCTTGTTGGGTCAAACCTTTCCTAAACACTAATGAAACATAATTCAACCACAGAAGGTAAAACAGAAAATGCTACTTTTTGGCCCTTTGTTCTACTTTCCTCTGGGGGATAAAATTATTGCTTGCCCAGAGAAATTGTAAGTAAAACTTTACAGATCTCAGGGGACCACATTTACAAACATGCTTGTTTTAGGGTTACTAGAAAAAAGTAACTTTAAGTCTTCAAGAAACTAGGAGTTTTCAACAGAGGAAATTCTGTTCTTTTTTTTTCAATCTTCTCCGAAACTGACAAGGCTGTTTACAGAGATACACATGGCCACATGAAGATCCTTGCTGTTTCCTCAACAGAGCAAGCATCAAAAGGAAAATGGAGGTTATATGAAAGCATAGGAGTCTTAGAAGTCTTTCCACCTGTCTGATCAATACCAAGAGGTGGAATTACTCTGACTTGCCCCAGAGGTGGTCCACCAGCAACCTTGTGTTAAGTGAACTGAGAGACCTGTACCCCCTTGGCAGCAGTCACTCCACAGCATGGATCCTTCATGTTTGTTTCAAACCCCAACTAATTAAAAGTAAACTTATTAGTCAGTTCTCATGAACAAAGCATTCTCCCCCATGTTTGTCTCTCTCCTGCTCATTACAAAGTTTTCTTCCTCTCAGTGACCTGGGGGGTGCTTTGTCAAAAAGGCAGGACGTACTCAGAAGGCTGGGGGTACGGTGGTTCTGAGCACAGGAAAGGTCCGGCCTCTGCTCTAAGCTTTGTGTCCTCCTGTAGACTCCTGGGTGATCTGAAGAGAAATCTGTCATCCGTGCTGGAATGTCTTGTCACTGTACACCCGTTTCTTTATTAGGGAATATTTTAGTCTACAGAAATCGACAGAACTAGTTTGAAATGACAATCTATAGTAAAGCACACAAACTGTTTTCTAGAGTTTTCTTCTGGTGATTACACAAGACATTAAAAAGAGATCCTTCTACTGTCAAGGCCAGCTTTCAAATGCAGACAATAAATGGCATTATCAACTACTAATTCACATTTAAACTCCATGTGAAGGCTACCACACGCGAAACGAAGGCCAAGATACCCACTGCTGGCGCCAGCTCCCACAAATGTGAAGGCAAAATCTAATTTTGCTCACTCGGGGGGAAGAGCTTGGGCGGCATGTCCCGAGCCTTACGGAGGGGAGGTCACGGCTCTGCCTCCAGAGCGGGACCGAACAATGGTGTCCCCCGGCCCCGCAGCCCCTGGCTGAGCAGCGCATCCGTCTGCTGCCTTAGCAACCGGCTGCTTTGCATACAGCCAGCAACACCCCCGGCCCCGGCCCGCATGCAAATCTCCGCGGGCAGCGCCCTGCCCGCTGCCCCAGCCTTCAGCGCTGCCACGTTCCCGTTCCCGCGGGCTCGCTCCGCTTGCCGTGGCCCTGCCCGGGGCTTCGTGCCGCCGGAGCCGACAGCGAGCACGAGGGAAACCATGGCAGGCACAGGGAGCGGGGACAGCCGCACATGGCCCGGTACCGGCACCCGGAGCAGGGACAGCCGCACATGGCCCGGTACCGGCACCGGGGACAGCCGCACATGGCCCGGCACTGGCACCGGGAGGGGGGACAGCCGCACATGGCCCGGTACCGGCACCCGGAGCAGGGACAGCCGCACATGGCCCGGTACCCGCACCCGGCTCTCGGGATGCTGCTGCGCCTTCCGCCCGTCCCGCCAGCCCCACGCCGGGCTGGAGCCGTGCTATCCCTAACCAGTACTGTCACTGCCCGGAGAGCAGCGTCACTTGCTGATGCTTGCCCGCACCACCCCGGCCCTCCGGGACGTTCCGGGACCACTCAGCTCCATCCCCGGGGCTCGCCCCGCCATCCCCACGCATCGCTCCTGCCTAACAAATGGCGGCACCGGGGAAGGGAGCTCGGCCAGGGCGGAGGGGAAATTTCCTCCCCGAGGCAGCCCGGCAGCGCCCGCAAGGGAGGGCGGCGGGCGCCCGCCTCGCCCCGCCCCGCTCCGCTCCCGCCGCCCCCGGGCCCGGCTCCTGTCACGATGAATGCGGGAGGAAGGCTCCCCCTTCCCCTCGCCGGCCTCGCCGCCTCCGGCCCCTCCTCCGCGCCCCCGCTGCCGAGCGCGGCCGCCCGGCGGAGCGACCCCCGCCCCCGCGCCCGGTGCTCGCCCGGCGGCCCCGGGGGCGGCGGGATCCGCACCGCCCCGGCGCTCGTACTGGAATGGGTGGAGTTGAGGAGCGCGGTTTCCTGAGAGGAAGTGACCGCACGGGGCAGGAATGCGCCGCCGGCTCCGCGCCGCGTCCCGCCTGCCTCGCCGCGGTGCCGCGGGGAGCCCTCTCCGCCCCGCCAGCCATGCCGCACTTCACCGTGGTGCCGGTGGAGGACAAGCCCCGCGCCGAGTACGACAGCGTAGAAGGGCTCAGCTGGGTGGACTACCGGGAGCCGGCCGCGGCGCCCGCCCCCGGCGACTCCTACGACACCGTCAGCTCCGACGGTGAGCGGGCACGGCCGGGGCGGGGGGCGGCGGTGCCCACGCTCCGGGGGCTCGGGCGAGCCCGGCTCCCCTCCCCTGCCGCCGGCCACGGCACAGACAAAGGCGGGGGTGCCGGCGGCGGCTGCCGGGCTGCTCGGGGCGCCGCGCCCCGGGGAGGAGCCCCCGGCAGCGCCGGGCGGGCGGCGGCTCCGCAGTTGCCGCGGCCGGGATGCGGAGCCCGGCGCGCCGGGGCAGCGCTGCCGCCGGTGTCAGCGGGCCGGGCCGGGCCGGGCCGAGCGGTGCCAGCGCGGCCCGCCCCGCGCACCCGGGGATGCCCTGGACGCGGGGTTCCCCCGAGCGCACGGGAGCCAGCCCGGGGTTCCCTCCGCCTCCCAGGCGCTGGGTGATAGCCCGGGGTGCAGCGGGGAGCGGGGCCGGCCCGGGGTATAGCTCTTATCGGTGCTCCCACAGGCTGCCGTCTCCAGAGATGATAAGAGTACGTGGAGATAGGCTCAGATGTTTTCAGTGCTTCACTGCCAAAATAAACGGGTGATAGAGCATTCGGTTAAATTAGCTGAATTTAACGGTGTCTGCTTTACTTGTTTATATCATCCTTCTAAACGCGGCTGCCCAGCAAGGTCTCTCTCCCGCAAACCGGGCCCCTATACTACAGCAAGTGCTTTGTGCCTTGTGTGGCTCTCACAACTGCTCCTGCCAGGCAGAGCTGCTTTTTCTTAGGGGTTAATTTATTCCAATTACAGAAGAAGATCACGTAAGTAGGAGGGGATTTTGGGTGGTGAGAAGTACATTCTTTAACTAGGCAGCTGGTATCAGGGCTCAGCCTGTCTTGATGTTTTGCTGTGACTTTGAGATATAAATCACTTTAAATACAGTGAGTGTTTCTAGTGGGAATGTGAAGGACGTTTAGATTTGGGCAGTAGTGTAGTTCTGGTACAAGCTTGTTTCAGCTCTTTGTGCAATCTGTTCTTCTTTTGTCTGCCTTGGTTATGTTTAGCTTTCTGTAACCTTTAGGAAGAGGATCTTCCCATGGGCTCATCTGGTGAATCTGACTTACCCTCTCTGAATCATGAGTGACTCTAGGCAACAAAAGAAAAAGCAGTAAACACCTGACCTGTTCTTCCTTGCCCGTGCAGTCAGACTTTTCAGATTGCAGATGTTATTGAATGTACAGTAATCCCTGAAGGGAGCCTGCACTGCTCAGGCCTGTGCTTAAGGAAGGCAACGGGGTTCTTTTGCTGAGTGATCCTCAACTGTCATAAGAACGAAGTTCAGTTCCTGCCTTGTTAACTTGCTCATTTCTCTGAGAATATGCGCTTCAATCTCCAATATGTGTGCATTGGGAGTTTCTTTCTTTCTTTCTTTGTATCCTTTTCAAGAAAAATTTTAGATTGCGAATACTGAGTTGCTTACCTAGCCCTAATGCCCGTTCTTTCCATTCCTAGTGTGAGTGTTTTAGGATGATGAAAGGGAGATGCTTTTCCCAAGCTGTCTGTTACCACAGACAATTTGAGGCACTAGCCCTAAAGGCTGTGCAGGGCCTTTAATTTGTTTTGTAAAATAGGACTGTTTTACTCTCAGGCTACATTACCATATAGTCCCCATGTGTATGAAAGTAACAGATGTTTTTTACCCGTCTCAGCAGGTCGAGGTGGACACCTCGTGAAATGCTTTTTCCAGTAGATAGCTTTGGCCATGGGTTGGTAAGTGTGGCTTGTGGAAGTTACTGCCGTGGTGGATAAAGAAAGGTCAACTCACACCACCTCTTACTTGGGTATGAGGCTCCCTGTAGGATGTATGCAACCAACACATTTCAGGATACCCACTCGGCTCCTGTCAGAGTCCATCAGTCACTGGCAAGCTGTGGCCTCTAACGTGCTGCTGTCACAACTGCAGTGCACAGCCATGCTGGAAGTTAGCTGAGTCTCTCTATTTTAAAGCTGATAGAAATCTAGTAATTTCTCTACTAATATATGGTAGCTAGTTCTGTTTCTGTTTGAACTCTAACTACCTTCCATTTTTTAATTTACTTTCACAGTAATTAAGTATTGTTTCATATCCTCGGGGTGTACATATAAAGATATGTGTCTTGCCTACCTGTACTGACAAGCATAGTCTTCCCCACTAGCCTTTTCTGGTTTTTTCCTAGGTTTCTTGTGTGTGTAGCTCTCTAAAGGGGAATCTGAACTCGATCTGGTGTTATTCCTTTCGGTTTTGGTGGTGGTTTCTACATCCTGTGCAGTTACCCTGGCCTGTCACACAGGGGGGATTGATGATATGACACAGCTCCTGTTGAAGGCAGAATGTCTCAGAGCTGTTTAGCACTGGCTGGAGCCTGCAGGCTTGGGGCTGGAGGGTGACCCTGCAGAGCCTTCTGTGGCACCTGATTATGGGGCTCTTGGAGAGATTTGTTGGTGTTTGGTGATGCCCCTGATTCGAGATAAGATAAACTGTTTGACTTGAGTGCAGAGTTCAAGTTTTGGGTTGTGGCCTTATCGAAGTGCACACAGTTGATACATGACACACGCTGATACACGGATGCACACAGCTGCCTGAGCAGTGCCCGTGGTCCAGGCTTTCTGTGCCATTGAGTAGCTCCACCACAGGCTGTGTGAGAAGCTGGTTGCAGTTGTTGTGGTGAACCTTCTGCTGGGAAGATTTTATTTAGTCAGGTTGCTGTTCAGCACCTGGTTTCAAGACTTGTTTGGATTGCTCAGTTTGATTGGATCTGTTGAGGTGACTCAGTAATGACATGGCCCTTCCAGAGTGTGGCCATGGCACTGCAGCTGTTTGTAGCTGCTCTGTAACAGTCTGCAAAGTAGTGGCTGTGTTGTCCAGTACTCCTTGCACAATATCTTAGGCTGTTGCTTATGATTCTGATGGATTCTTTTTTTGGTTTCATCTTTTTACAGCTGCGTTTATTTGTCATATCTCTGTTTTTGAAGGTTTTGCTTTTTTTTCTGAAATTTGCTTTTTTTAGGACATCAAGTGATAGGGTGTCATCTAAACTCTACAGATGTGAAACTGTTCTGCAACAGAGTTTCTCGTCAACCATTTCTATAAGAAGACATTAGTCAGTGTGCAATAATTAAGCCTTGTCAGATAGTTCTAGTGCTTGCCTATGAATAAAATCAGCCTTTTATTTCTAAGTAGGTTCCACTGACTGCCACTGCTTATAATAGACTTTGACATCTTTCATTTAGAAAAAGAAGTACAAAGAATTATCCTGTGATCCTATGATAAACACGTGAGCCTTTCTTTATGGATCGTCAGGGATGAGAAATGTGAATTTGGCATCCCCTCTGTCTTTGAAATAAAGCCAGAATATTAGGTTGGGTACACAGGACAAGAAGAGGGACAGTGGGGTCTGAATAGTGTTTTAAAAACCAAATGCACTTTGCTTTAATAGAAATCTCAGCTCCACAGTCATTGTGCACCCTGTTAACCAAAGTATGGCAATGTCATGTGTCCTGTGGGAAGTTATTTATCTTCCCTTGACTTCTGTGTGGAAATGAGACACTGATCAGCTTGGTGTCACTAACTAGCTTTGGTCAACTGCCACCCTTGGTTTTTGCCAAGGAATTGCTCTGCTTATGTTCCAGTTATCACTTGGCTTCCTCCAAGCCCTGAGTTCTCTAACTAGACTTGAGACTTTTACCTTGATCTTACATTCTGTGTTGGCATGTTCAGTGTTCTTGTGCAGCAGCAGATTGTGCTGCTCATTTGCAGTGAGCTGCTTTGGAAAATGTGGGTAAAGTTCTGGTGTGATAGCAGTGTGCTTTTACTTTAAACTTCCTGGTTCACTGCTTTTATGTGTGGTAACTTACTGGTGAAGATTTTCAGTCTTTTGCAGGACTTGAAACTAAGCTCACAAGAAATGTATCTGAAGATACTTTTAATATAGATGCATAAATCACTCAAAAATTCTTCTTCGAAGTGCTTAATTCTTACATGTAGGTGTTTTGGCGAAATCCAGAGATAAGATAAAATTGGTCACATAATAAATTAGACACTAGGGCTAAATGGGACCGACAGAAACATGTCCAAATAGCATTTATGTTATCTTAAAAACTTCTGCAGGCAGCAGTGTGGCTAAATGGCACTGTTATGGTGACTGTAGTTGAATATTTTTGCATAACCTCTGTACCACAAGTGTCTTCAGCATTTTTTGTGTTGCCTAAAAGCCGCAGAAAGAAGTCATAGAGGAGGCAGCCTGGGGTGGAGTTGAGGCAGAACCTCTGAATTGTTTCAGAGAAAAGAAAGTAACCTGAGAATAGCAATACTGATGTCAGTGAGCTGTCTTTGCTGGTGATTTGTTAACTATTCTCTTACTGAAAACAGGGTGGAGACTGCATGTTCTTCAGTGTAGGTGCATTTTGATGATGAAGGTTGTTTTTTTTTTTTACTGTTCTGCTAACATCTGGTTACTCCTCTCTGCAAAGTACGATGTGTAAATTTGGAGATATTAAAGGTGTCCTATCAGTGCTAAATACGTCAATATTTATTTCTTTTCACCAAGGGTACTTGGAGGATCCACAGCAATAGTTATAGTTTTCAGTGCAGATCCTGAAAGGGGTCTTTGCAGCAGGGTTATACTTTAGAAGTCCTGGTAGGTTTTTTGTTGTTAGGACTTTTTTCCTTTTCTTTTTCTAATATTTTTTTTCTTTCAGTTTGGCCAATCAGCAATTAGCACAGCACTGATTGCAATGCTAAATTCCAGAATGCTTTTCTCAACAATACAGGTGAATAGAGAAGTGGACTCTTGCTTCAGATAAGGAAAGATAAGAGGTCGGCATGTGAAAAATGAGAGTGGAAAAGTGCTTTGTGACATAATTACCTGTTTATAATAGCTGGGTGGGTGAAGGAGGTGATATATACTTTCTTTATACCCTGTAATCAAAGGAATTTTTCTGAGGAGCTCATTTTCCTGGAGCCAATGGTCAATACCTTTAGTTTCTTTTATTGGCTTGTAGTATAGTAAGGTTTAATGTGTTAAAATCCTTGTCTAGGAAAACAGAAAAGTTCTTAGTGCTGCATTAACTGCTACTTTTGCTAAGCATGTCTCATACTTCTAATTTGTGCAGTGATTAGGACCGAGCTGGAGAGGCTGCAGCTGTCCAGTACCAAGGGGATCGTGGTGCCAGCTGCTGGTGAACAGGAGACTTAGCTAAATATAGGAAAACATGGGCCTTCTTGTGGGTTCTGTGGTATTCCAGTTATTTGAAAAAGCTCTGGGAAGAATCTTTGTGATATGTCTAAGTGATGTGAAAGCAGCTCCCCTACCCGTTTGTGTGTGGGTCTGCATGTTGCAAAAAAAGAAGAGAAGATTGTTAAACAATCCCAAACAACCCTCTGTTGGTCTTTTGCAGCTGCAGGGTTTTTTTGTGTTTTGGAGAACACCTGCATTAGAAGGCTAAGCAGTTGTACATGAAAAGACATGAGTTTTCTACCTAATTCTCTCTGCCGATGCTTGCTAAGCAGCCATTCCGAACTTGAGTTAAGACTTAAGTTTGGGAATATTTGAATAATGCTGAAGTTATATATTCTGTACAATCTCTCAACTTTTCTGAAGAATTTTAAGTACATTTTTGGGTGTCTTGTGTTTGTAGTACATTTCTCTCTCATGCATAAAACTGATCCGTGTGTGTTATTCAATTTCCCCTTACAAATTTCTTCAGTGTTTCACTTCCTCAGAGAAAATAGTGACATCTGCTTTCTTTTCCCTACTGCAACGAAATTAAAGCATAAGCTTTTGCATGCTTTTCAATATAAAATTGAGTTTTGGCCTTTGCTCTGAAGTTCTGTGTAGAATGGAGGCTGAGGTAGTTTGCAGTCTCATTGACTAGGAAATGTAGCCAAACACAATAATTGCTGCTGGCTGAGGTTGGCAACAACCACCTTGAGAACCATCAGAGTTAGTGATCCCTGCCTTGTTCTGAAGTGCATGTAACAGGATGGGGGATACCCAGTGCCACAGGCAGAGGAAAGCTGCATTTGGTGAGTTTCCCTTTCCAAGACCAAGTTAAGGATTTGCATCTGTTTTTGATTGTAATGCAACAAATAATGTGCAGACTGCTTTAAATTACAGAACAATTGCTATTAGCACCAATATGTGGAGCAAGAGTTCTCTGATCAAAGGGTCCGTGCCTTCAATTTCTTGGTTCAAGGTTGCTCTTTAAATACTTTGCTCTGTGACCTGAATTACAGAGAAAAAAAATGCGCCATTTTAAAGGCATGGTTTAGAGCCTATTTAAATTACACTTTAGGAGTGTTTCCTTTGTTATCAGTAACCTCCAAATTGGAAATTTTGCATCTCTTAATTGTATTAAGCTGATTTTTATTCTCAGATAATAAAATTTCAGGGTTTTTTTTATGTTTTTGTTTGTTTGATTTAGTATTGATTTAGTAAAACCTCTTTCTTAATTATTAGTTATCAATAGGCAACAGTTTAAATGCTGCCAAGTGGTCCCTTAGCAATGAGTAGTACTGTTCTTGTTCTTTCAGTTGAGCTACTTTGGATGATTTCTTTCAGCATACTTGGATTTTGTCATGCATGAACTGAGCATCTTTCACAGAGGCTGCTGTAGCAACTGCCAAGCAAACATTTTTTTTTTAAGCAAGCAAAATAACAAAATACGTACACACACAAAAAATTAGTCTTTTCACAGACTCAAATGCATGACAGTTAATATGTCTGTATTTA